TTTGTCACGTAAGACTCAGTACTGCCGTACTGGCCCTCGCGTGATTGAAACGCGGCAATTTAAACACTTTAACAGAGGAAAATTCTTAAGTGACCTCAATCAACTACCTTGGGCCAATGTTGATTTGTATTCTGATCCCAGTGAAATGTGGCGTGTATGGAAAGAAATGTTTCTTGGCTGCGTCGATAAACACGCACCACTTAAACAAAAAAGAATTCGAAAAAAACGATCTCCATGGATTACTAGAGAGTTACATAGCAAAATCCGAAAACGAGATTTCCTTAAAACGAAGGCAATCTCCTCCAATAACTCGGCTATATGGGATCAATTTAGTTGTGCAAGAAACCAGGCAAATAACGCAATTAAACTCGCAAAAAAACTCTATGTTTCTGACAACTTGGAAGCCAACAAAGGTAATTTGCGCAAAACATGGAATGTTATCAACGAGCTAACTTCACGTAACAGTGGTAAGTCAACGAATATTTTGGAGATCAAGGTAGATAATAAAATAGCATGTAACCCTATGGACATTGCGGAAACTATTAACGATCACTTTACAAACGTTGGGCAAGTATTAGCACAAGATATTCCTGTTGTCGATGCTAATCCTGAGTCTTATTTAGAGCCCACTAACCATTCGTTTTCTCTGCAAATTCCGAGTGTTGATATTGTTTCTAACGTTTTGTCGAAAATTGATGAAAAGAAAGCCACCGGTCTTGATATGATTCCGAGTAAATTGTTGAAAATGGCTACTAATATCGTCGCACCCTCTCTTACCTCAATATTCTCAAAGTCTATTCTCACTGGGATATATCCAAACTATTGGAAAATGGCCAAAGTGACTCCACTTTTTAAAAAGGGCATTAAATCGTACCCTAACAACCACAGGCCAATATCCGTAATACCTATAATTTCGAAAGTTTTTGAAAGAATTGTTTATAATCAACTTTTCCGTTATCTAGATGATAATAAATTGCTACTAGGTTGCCAATCAGGGTTCAGTTCTCTACATAGTACGCTCACGGCTTTGCTTGAGGCAACAAATGCTTGGTCAGTAAACATCGACAATGGCCTTCTAAATGGCGTTGTCTTTATTGACCTTACTAAGGCATTCGATACCATTGATCATGAGATCATCTTGCGTAAGATGTCATACTTGGGTGTCGATCAGGCAACCATAAAATGGTTCTCGTCGTACTTAAGTGGCTGAACCCAAAGATGTAATGTCAGTGGCAAACTATCATCTGCTCGTACCCCCAGTTGCGGCGTGCCGCAGGGTAGCATATCGGGTCCTTTGCTATTTTTAATTTACATTAATGATCTTCCCAACTCCCTGCGGGGCGCCGTACCAAGAATGTTTGCCGATGACACCAACCTTACGTTATCTGCTAAGACGTTAACAGAGCTTAAGCTAGCTCTAACCCCTGAATTAAATAACCTTAGCTGTTGGCTGAAAGCTAACAAGCTCAGTCTAAATGTTGCTAAAACAGAGCTAATGATTATTGGATCAAGACAAAGACTATCTGCCCAATGTGACGATGTAGAAATCAGAATTGATGACCAAATTATCAAGAGAGTCGATCATACCAAATCCTTGGGTCTTACCATAGATGCTCAACTCTCTTGGGGTAAGCACGTTGAAGAGATTTGCAAGAAAGTCTCTTCAGCTATAGGCGCGCTAAAACGTGTGCGGCCGTTTATATCCAAAGAAACTGCAATTCAAATTTATAACGCCTTAATTATGCCTCATTTTGATTACTGCAGCCCCGTCTGAGACTGTTTGAGTGGTTACTTGAGTTATAAGCTCCAAAAATTACAGAATCGTGCAGCCAGAGTTATTACTAAATCACCCTTTGATGCGAGCTCAAACCACCTTCTCTCCACCCTCAGCTGGGAGAGGCTATCTCTTCGACGAAAGAAACAAAAAGCCTTTATGATGTATAAAACCATGAATGACCTTGCTCCGGAATATCTACAAAGTCTTTTCTCTCAGCGTCACTCTGCTTACAACTTAAGAAACTCTGAGGGAAGGCTGACCCTGTCCAAACCAAGCACAAATTATTTGAAACGAAGCTTCTCTTACAGCGGGGCCATGTTTTGGAATAACTTGCCCAAAAACTTAAAAAAATGTTGCATCCGTTGAGCATTTTAAGCGAAATGTGAAGAAGGTAGCTGATATATCGGATTCCCACACGGCAATCATGTAAAGCAGTTGTAATTAGTTTTAGTTTTTAACTTAAGCTTAACCGATTTCCCGTGTTTAAAATAAAGATTTACAAGAGATACCTAAGCTGCTTTGTGGATGGTTACAAGGATCAGTTAAGACAACTGTACGGTACCCTATGCCATTCTGGTTATCAGCTGAGCTCCACCGGTTTTTTTTTCCCGTGGTATTTATCAATATACCCATATTCATTATGTTGATCATCTTTATTATTATTATTATTATTATTATTATCATTATCATTATCATTATCATTATCATTATCATTATCATTATCATTATCATTATCATTATCATTATTATTTAGCTGTTTTTTTATTCATTTGTCGTTATTTGGCTTTTTGCTGATGCTCAAGTGTTTTTCTTTTGGTTGTTTATTTCTTTGGTTTCCTTTTCTTTTTTTATGATTTATCAGTGGGACCAAAACATGGAATACTCTTTCAAAAAACAAGTTGCAGCAGCAGCGACGGAATATTGTGCACGTGCTCAAGTCCAGTGTTACCCAAACCAGTCAAGGTGGGTGTTTAGGTTTCTTTATGTTTGTAAGGCACGAATGAACTATGAAAAAACTTACTAGAAAACAATCGCATTTTGAATATTACGATGTTTAACAGATTTAATTTAAGGCACCCACACAACGTTTTGGGGTGTGAGATCGTTATTCTTACTGCATACTACATTCTGTAAATGCACACATTTAGCTTGTTAGGTGGGCAAGCGTTTACTTCTTTAAATCCCTTGTGGCGAGCGCTAGAGTGTATGATGTAGCCCTCTACATTTTATATATATACATATGTTGTGTAAAAAAAAGGTACCGTAAGAAAGCTGATTTTTTACAGAAGAAGAAGAAGAAGAAGAAGAAGAAGAAGAAGAAGAAGAAGAAGAACCTTTATTAATTTATACCGCTCAGGGTAGCCCCTTCAGACGCAAAAAGCTGTCTGTTATCAACGGGAGCCCTGAGCAACAACGCACAAAAACCACACTAAACATATAAACATTACACTAATACAGGTAATAATATAAATAGAAAACTATTTTCAATTAAAAGATTAAAAGATGTAAAACACGAAATATCATTAAGATAATTCGTTAAAAAGAGTGCAACCATCATAATAGAACGATCTTTTTGCAATTTCAGTTCTCACAGCAGGCGGATGTAAGAGGTTGCTTTGTCTAGTAGCGCGCGCATGGATTGTATTATTACGTTTAAAATATTGTTTAAAATACTGGGGACATTGACCTTGCAGGCATTAGTTTTTTAAAAACTCATTGGGATTCTAGGATTTTCCACAGCAGAACAGCTAAAAACACCTGGCAGATAATGTGAAGGAAAAGAATTTTTAAGTGACAGCCGTCGAAATTACTGTGAATTTGGATTTTCGGTACAGTTATGAAAGCAAGAACAACGGAGAAAAACTATTACCTCGGTCGCTTGTTATGAAGTTGTTCCACAAGCTGGTTTTGCTGAACGAGAAAAGAAGCTATACTGCCGCCTCGATTGCTCTGGTGAATGGCTGCATAGCCTGTATTAGTAGCCTGTATTTGTAGCTGGTTACTGAACATTAGTTTTTTTAAAACTCATCGGTACTCTAGGATTTTACACAGCAGAACGGCTACAAAAACCTGCCAGATAATGTGAAGGAAAAGAATTTTTAAGTGACAGCCGTCGAAATTACTGTGAATTTGGATTTTCGTTGCAGTTATAAAAGTAAGAACAACGGAGAAAAACTCTTTAATACCTCAGTCGCTTGTTTATGAAGTTGTTTGAAGCCACAAGCTGGTTTTGCTGAACGAGAAAAGAAGCTATACTGCCGCCTCGATTGCTCTAGTGAATGGCTGCATAGCCTGTATTTGTAGCTGGTTACTTGTGATTTTTATTCTTGATGTCGGATAAACAAGCCGCAGTTACCTATCGGCGAGTGACTCGATCGGCGAATGACTTCGCGGTCATGAAGAAATAACACTTGTCTTCTTTCGCAGCTGGTCAAGGTACTTTAGTTCCACGTGTTTCCATGTGTGTTTCGACAAACTTTCAAGCAAGCTCTTGAGGCTTTTTTGTTTGTTTTTGTCTTTTTTCTTTCGATGAAATTGCATTTCTAGTATTCTAAGAAATGAATTAAAACAATTTGCTTCGGGCGCCGTTCTATCCTTCGCGAAAAAAATCTCAGGTAGCTTCCAATTTTAAACTGATGCGTACACCGACCATGTATGGAGAGCATGGTATAATAGCTCATATACCATAACGGCTAAGCCAATCGAAATGCTAGAACTGCATTATCCAATGATTCAGATTTTAATAAATATATATATATACGGTTTACGGTTTCAATCGCCTGGGAACCTACTTCTCGCGGAAAAATTGAAAAGTCGCTGTCCTTTAATACTAGTAATGAAATAAATTTGTAACGATTGAATTACCAAAGAAGGGTCTTACTTAGGATGGAGAAAACCATGTCCATGCATCCATCTCCATCGACTATTTTCCCCTCGTTCGACGTTGTTGCAGTTCGGCTGTTTTATTTTCTGACGCCTGAGTATCAGTTTTTCGTTTTGTTTTTTTTTTTTTTCTTCTCAAACCTCAATTATACAGAGCTGATCAATTTTAAAAATCGTTTTGGAACTTCATCTTCATCATCATCATCATCATCATCATCATCATCATCATCATCATCATCATTATTTTGGCCAGTTTGTTAATTTTTATTTTTCAATGATCTTACCTTTATATGTTCTGTTTTTATTTTCTTATTAGTTACATTTATTATTTCCTTATTTTTTTAGACAAAGGCGTTCGTCTGAAAACGTGACATTTACGGCTGACATGGTTCACATTCTTCCTGGTTATCCCAAGCAGTCAGACGATTCTCCCGGTGTAGTCCTACTGGCTTTCTACCTGAGTCTTCCACAAGGAACTTCGGAAAGCAGCGTCGTCTCTGAGAGTATATTACATGATATTGTGATGGGTCATAAAGAGAACATTCAAACATCTATTGGAGGTGAAATCTCAAGTGTCGATCCTTATTCATCTGGCTCAGAGGTACCGAAAAACGAGGAAAGCAACGAGGGAAATGGCGAAAAGTCAAAACCAACCAACGTTATTATCGGCGCTTCGGTGGGCGGTGGATTGCTGTTAATCATTATTGGCGCCGTTCTGATCGGCTTCAAAAAGAGTGACAGGTATTTCTAGTTAGAGGAAAAAATAGCTTTTGTGCGTGTTCTTCGCTTTTCTATTAACACGCACCAAGGCTGTTAATATATGTTTGTCGTCTTCTTTTAGGAAATTAGGTGGTCTTGGAATAATGTTTTTAATTATACATTGTTTATTAAATTGCAATTCTCCAGGTTCAGTTTTAACAGATGTGTGGCCAACCGAAAAGACTTAGAGGAAACGCCGATCACATTAATGCTGGAAATGGACGATATAAGTGACGATGTCAGTTCGTCTCCAGCTAAGATTCAGCATAAGACAAATAGAGCTGTTAACCCGATCCATGATAAACCAGCATCTCGTCTTTATCATTCATTGCCTGGAGAACCGTCTGGCGTAGCACTAGCGAAAAAGACCAGAAGTGAGATGAACCCAAGTAAATCAGAACTAATTTAACGGTAAGCAACTTGAAAGTACAACCAGAGGACGAGAAACAAAATGCTGCTGGCAACTCATCAGCCGACATTAGCAATGAGGAACAGGAGGCCCAACCAACGAATACTTGCCCGAGGTACCGAACCTAAAGGAGAATAAATCTTGTTAGACTTTTGCAGTACAGTTTGTTTAGCTAAATAAATAATAAATAACAAAAAAGCACCTGGCCCTTTTTCCCAGCATAGTTTTTTTCTAAATAGCTTATAGCAAAACCATCCAAAATTTGTGTCCGTTGAACAAGTTGTTTTGTTTTTTTTTTTTTAGTTCAAGTACAGTCATGGCACGTTGAAAAAGTATATCGAAGCTTTAATTCCTCTCGGTCTTCAGCAAAAGTAATTCACGTAGTATCTGGCTATTAGATCCTGTAACAATAATTTTTGTATTGTAGTGTAAGAAGCCCTTTTTGTGGGCCTTTTTTTAATCCGCGCCCAGACTGCTGGCATGCATTTGACGTTATTTGTTGGTAATAAATTAGTTCATTTTCAAATGTTGTTCTCAAACTCATTATTCATTCATGAGGGCAACAGCCAATAAATGAGGCATATTTGGGTCACATGCATAAACCTTGATACCCAATGAACGCTCAGATGAAAATCTTATGGGTTTTGATCTGAGATCAAACATGGTTTTGATCTCAGATCAAACACTTACATTTTAATGAGCATTTTTCAATAATAAATACATCGTTAACGACAATACCAAAAATGACCTGAATATCATTTGATATAACTAACCTTGATAGCGTCGGATACCACAAACAATTCCATAAATGGTCTTCGGTGGATATCTCTCTCCCCCGACTTCTTGGCCACCTCCATCACAAACTTGCTAATCCAGTAACTCAAGGTCACCGCATCAATTTCTTCAGTGCTGGTTGAAAGCTGTGTGACCTTGTGTAAATCATAGCCTTTAAAAAGCCCTCCTGGATCTAAAACGGGAGCAATAACCGACCGAGAAATTTGCCATTCGTCAAAAATAGCTACTGCTCATTTGTTCTTATATTTGGTTGACGAGGGAATAACTTTTTCGACTCAGTCGCGTTGATCGTAAACCGTTTTCGGCTCCCTAAATCTTGCCTCTCCATCTTCACTCATGGCCAGACAGCAACTAGTACACCAAAACAGTTAATCATGCATGTTGAAGTAATGTTACGTAATATGGCAATTAATATGGCAAGATTGCGTCGCTGCATAAATTATTGTTCTTTCATTTGGGGAGGACAGTAGCAAAAAATGTATCACTGCATATTTTTTATTGCTTCGTTTGAGAAGTCATCACAAAAACTCGTGCTTCGGGTTTCATCAGGAGTTCCAAACACCTGGAAACAATAAAAGCACTCGGCGTACGGCCTCGTGCTTTCATCTGTTTCTAGGTGTTTGGAACCCCTGATGAAACCCTCGCACTCGTTTTTGATAAATGTATATCCCTTAAACAAGACGCTAAGAAAATATATATTAAAAAATATACATTAAAAAATATATATTTAAAAAGATATATTTAATGTTATCTTAAATTCTGATCACTTGGAAAATCTTGCGTAGCAAGATCGAATATTGAAAACAAACAAACAACAAGAGGGGAGAAATCCAAGTGTTAAGTTTCATTAACCTGTCTCGTTAAGAGCCTTTCTAGGTGCCACGATGTGCTGCGCAGCTATTTTTACGTGTACGTTCAGGTAGAAGTACAGTCTCGCGTGTCCATTCTCAGATACTTATCATTTATTTTGTTTTCATTTTGAATAATTATCAAATCTTAATGTTGTGCTATAGGTAAAATCAAACCCCGTTTGAAGGACACCCGCTTAACACTATCCAGACCGGGTTTTTTGTTTTTTTCTTTTTGCTTCCTGTGACCGGGGAGAAGGCCTTGGAGTTACCCCACCCCCGGTTTATAACCCGAAAACCACTCATCCCAGGGCCAAAAATACTACACAAAACGACGTAATCATCATTTTCACATTTGGTGCTAAATTGGATTGACAATCCAATCTGAGGTCATTATGACGTCATAGTGTTGAATCTATTGGTAGAATCCTAATTCCCCTCAAAGTAGACTGAAAAATACATAAGAAGTGAGGTCTCTGATAAAATAAAGGAAGTTAGTTAACATATAAATGATCCTTAACAATAGTAGGATGTCATGATGACGTCATTTATTTCTAAAAAGGGAACTGGAAGAAACTGGCATCTTGCCATCTTGCTATGGGTACTAAAATGGCTCCTTCTTTTGCTAAGCTTTTTCTTGGTATGTTCGAAACCAACGCTCTCACTAACGCCCCTTGGCAGTCTCACACATGGTGGAGATATATGATATATAGATATATATTTTCATGATCTGGACAGAAGGTTCGGATCGGTTGAAAATATTCCTCGTTTATCTCAATAACATTCATCCCATTATTAAGTTCACTAGCTCTCACTCACTTACTAACGTTCCTTTTCCCGACGTCATGGTGTCTCTACATAACGGTATAATTGAAACTGATATATTTACTAAACCCACGGATAAACATCAGCACCTAATTCTCAGCTCATCAGGCCATCCTCACTACCCTAAGAAAGCCATTCCGTTCAGCTTAGCTCTCCGCCTCCGCCGTATCCTGCTCTACAGACGCTAAGTTTAAACATCGCATTTATGAACTTAAAACATATCTCCTTGCTCGTGGTTATAATAATAATTTCCTAGAAAAACAGTTCCTACGCGCTGCTAATATTTCTCGTACTAACGCGTTACAGACTAAGCCCAAAGCTTCTAACGATGTTGTGCCATTTGTTGTCACAAATAACCCAGCACTTCCACGCATTTCTAATATCCTACGCAAACATTTTAACATCTTACACTCCTCTAACCGTTGCAAAGACGTCTTTAAGCAACCGCCTTTTGTTGCTTACAGACTTAGCTCTAATCTTCGTGACCTTTTAGTTAAAGCACAACTACCCGTTACCTCCACCAATCATTTTCCACCAGGCTCTTTCCTTTGTGGACAGAATTATGCCACTTGTCCATATATTACTAACGGCCTCACAAGTTATACCTTTTACGCTACTGGCGAAACACGCTCCATCACTTCACACATTACTTGTAACACTAAAAATGTGATCTACATGGTTCAATGTAACCGTTGTAATTTACAATATATAGGTGAAACTAAGCGACGTCTCAAGGACAGATTTAACGAACACAGATCTAGACGTGCAGTCGACGAAACGAACATTAAATCCAAACCCACTACTGTTTCTGAACACTTTCTCTCTCACTCTAACCATTCTCATACTGACATGCAGTTAATCCCACTAGAGAAAATTCATTCTTCACATGACTGAGTTCGTACGGCCAGGGAGTCGCATTTGATAGATAAGGCTATGACTCTTGAACCTCATGGCCTAAACCGCCGCGACGAATTATTGTAATCCATATCCTTAAGTTAGTATTTTTCCTTTCCAGTTTTTATGTTGTACGTCATTTCCGCCTCTCCCTTTTATTGCGACATTCTCCATCTATATAATATTTTGATTGCTACATAAGTTCAGTAACATCTGTAAACCTGAAGAAGGCTGGTATGGCCAGCCGAAATATGAAAAACAATACACGTTGTTTTAAATCAGCTTTGCAGTAGTCTTTGGACTTCTCGTTCTTGTTTCTTTATATTTTGGCTGATTTGATCTCTTTTCTAGAGATCTAACGTTTACAACTAGCAGGATCTTCGTCCACGGGTTTTGCTGTTAATTTAATCCTTTACATCTTGGATTCGGCATCTTGAATTATTACTGAAAATTTATTCCATTTTACTGAAAACTCGTACAAATCGAGGTAGTTTAACAGAAAACTTAATCTGAGTATGAAAGGATGCTTAGGAGCAAAACCTCAGCAAAATATGAAATTCCGAGAGAAATGAAGACTGCATGCGACATTTGGTTATATTAAAATCATGGGGTTTTTTTTCCCAAAGTGGTCACTAAAAAGCATTGATTTCATTAACCGTTACAATAACTTTGATAAAATAATGCTAAATTAAATATAATATAATAATTCAATCAGTAAAAAGAGAAATAAAACCTTTTTTTTTTAAAAAGTCAAATATTGAAAACATGGATGCCAAAACGTGCATGATTGCCATGGTAACGTCAATGTTGACATGCACGTCACGACGACTTTAAAGTGTTCCTAGATAATTTTTAGGAAAAGTCGCTAAGTTTGGTGGTCATAGCTTAAACGGTTTTGAAGTTATTCCAATTTATAGCGAGAGGCTCCCCCCTCCAGGTCTTAATATGGATACCTCATTATTACGGGTAGTTTGCTTTGCCCCTCGGGTAAAGAAAGCCCCTACATTTTCTATGAACCCAACCCTGTTAATGCGGATAATTCCAATGCCCCCACCCCTCCTTCCCCCTCAGTTTCCGTATGAAGGGGGTTTGACTGTATTAATTTTTTTCCTAGTCTCATGATGAGCGCAGCCAAAAGGTCTAAGTTCTCCTTTAATAACCATCTCGGGGTGCCGTGAGGCTTTTTGGAAGGCATTGCCAATGTCGCTTTCGAGACAAGTT